CCTACACATCAATTTCATTGGCTGATTGCCCCAAAGGATCCATTTCATTCATTGGCTGATTGCCCCAAATTTCAAGGGCTGTTGCTGTTTGAAGGCAGTTTGCTTATGTACTTGGCATTATCTGTTTTGAAATTGATCCTCAACTTTCCTTTTCCTTCCAAGTTTTTAATGGTCTGGTTTATCTGTTCCCATAAATACCATCATAACTGAAGAGTCTGGGGGCCAGAGTCCACTGTCAGGTATGAAAGGGACAGATTCATCAACGTATTTGACCCTAAGACACAAAGTTTCTCTGTGATCTTGTTCAAGGGATTCAAATCCAACCTTAAACACATGGGACCGGCATCAATTGCCTTCCCAGATGCCCAGTACCCAGCACAACGAACAGCTGGTGTAAGTACATTAACTCTCTTTGGGAAGAAAAACAGGAAGCGGGGATTTATTTCTAGTGACCTTCTATTTCATCAGCAGCTTTCATCCTAGTTTTAGTCTTGCTTCTCCAATAAATTGACAGAGCAACTCAGTTACCTTCATTCGACACCTTCATTTGGGGAAAAGAGGGTTAATTCCCATCTCTGCTCCGGGATCTCAATGCCAAAGCTTGCAGAGGTCTAAAACACAGACCATGCTTCTTGGGAGCTCTTCCTTCCTAAGGCAGATACTCCACCTCAGTGTTCTCCCGTAACTCCCAACATATCCATTCTCCATGCACAAGAGCAGCTATGGAAGGAGAAGGGTTATAACCTCTCTCCAGAGCACCACCAAGTTGGAAGTACAGCTCTCCTCTTCCTCACACCTGCACACAAGGAGCAGGATCCATCCCACCCAATGCTGAGTGTTTATGACACAGCTAGATGCCAGCAAGGCATGAGAAACAGGTGCTTCTCAGGTTAGATGTCTTCATTAGGACAGGGTGGGACCTCAAACACTTCCCCCCCCCAGGAAAAACAAACAAACAATAACATATAGAGGACACTGACTCAGCAAAGATGCTCAAGCAATTTGCATAAAGCTAACTGAAACTTTTTATTCTTGTCATTGTTTGCTAAATCCCCTTAAAACCATCACAGATTCTTTCAAGTTACCTGGACACTCCTCAAAGCCAGAGACTAGGAGCTGCTGAAAGCTTTTACACCCCCTTGTCCTTCTTCTCACCCTGGCACCAGACCTCCTGGCTCAGCTCTCCAAGAGGGGACAGCTTCATTACAGCAACCCCCACCCCAGGCAAAGCAGACCCACCTCCCAGCTCATGCTACCTACCTCTTCCCAGGCTGTGGCTTCTCCAGTGCAGGAGCACAAAGTCCCACCACCTCCAGCAAGAGCCTAGAAGACCTCTTTTCATCTCCACTGTATGAGGTGTTGCCCTCTATAACCTCATCAAGCGAATTAGGTTTCCCATCAAGCTAATTAGCCTTCCCAGGTGGAAGCCTTCCCAGGATAGGAGTTGTCTCTCCCCTACCTTGCTCCTCCCTGCCCAGTGGGAGCTGGGGACTCAGCCCAACCCATAACTGGTTTTGTGCCATTTAATTCCATTTAAGCACAAAATGAAAAGCTCAATCAACATCAGAGCAGGGTTTTGGCCTTGGGAGTTACTGAAAAACTGATGGAAACTGAAGCAAATCACAGAATCACAGAATGGTGGAGGTCGGAAGGGACCTCTGGAGATCATCTAGTCCAACACCCCTGCCAAAGCAGGTTCACCCAGAGCAGGTTGCACAGGAAGGTGTCCAGGTGGGTTCTGAACATCTCCAGAGATGGAGACTCCACACCCTCTCTGGGCAGCCTGTCCCAGGGCTCCAGCACCCTCACAGGAAAGTTTTTCCTCATATTTAAGTGGAATCTCCAGCTTGTGCCCATTGCCCCTTGTCCTATCGCTGGCCACCACTGAGAAGATTCTGGCCCCATCCTCTTGACACTCATCCTTTAGATATTTATAGACATTAATAAGATCCCCTCTCAGTCTTCTCCAGGCTAAACAGACCCAGCTCTCTCAATCTTTCCTCATTAAGAAAGATGCTCCAGCCCCTTAATCATCTTTGTGGCCTCCACTGGACTCTCTCCAGCAGTTCCCTGTCTCTCTTGAACTGGGGAGCCCAGAACTGGACAAATTACTCCAGATGTGGCCTCACCAGGGCAGAGTAGAGGTGGAGGAGAACCTCCCTCGACCTGCTGGTCACAATCTTCTCAATGCCCCCCAGGAAACCATTGGCTTTCTTGGCCACAAGGGCACATTGCTGGCTCATGGTCAACTGGTCACCCACCAGTACTCCCAGGTCCTTCTCTGCACGGCATTTCCCCTTTTCCCCATAATCCCTGAGCAGTGGAAAAGCTTCAGCCACACAGAGCAAGCGTCCCTTCCTGGGCCAGTGCTGCCGTCCTCACACCTGGAAACTCAAGAAGCAGCAACAGAGCCCTGCTCATTTCTTGTGATGCAAAGAGAGACCCACGATCCATCGTGACACCAAACAGTGGTACCTCCTGCTAAAAAACATCTGGGCAACATCTATCTTGGAGCTTTTTATTTCAACTAATTTCAGGGGTTTTTTTCATTTTACTTTCTGACTATGACATAAAAGCCGTGAGCTGGGTGTGCCAGGTTGCCGAGAACGTGGCTCTGCTGGGCACCATGGGTTCCTCCCCTCCCTGCCATTAGTGCCACACGTGTAGTAAAACCACACACGGGCTCAGCACTTCACTTGCTCAGGTGTGAGGTGCTGGGTCCAGATCATGCACAGGTGGGAAAAGCATCTGTCAATGTCTTGGCAGCCTTGTCACCATCCTCACCCTGGAGGAAACAGCTTTTCTCAGTGACTACAACATCTCTGCCTGGTCCCATCCACACTGGGGTGATGTCTTCTGCAATAGCAGCTCCAACAAAGGCTCATGACATGTCTGCACCATGGCCCTACGAGAAGAATAGGGGCCAGCAAAAATCACCCTTGGGTGAGGCCTTCACACCCCATGCTGCCCTGAAAGAAGCAAGAACAAGTTGTCTTCACAGAATCCCAGAATTGCCTTGATTGGAAAAGACCTTTAAGATCATCCAGTCCAATTGTTAACCTCACACTGACAAGTCCCTGACTAACCCATGTCCCTCAGCACTATGTCTACACCACTCTGAAATCCCTCCAGGGATGGGGACTCCACCACTGCCCTGGGCAACCCCTTCCAATGCCTCAGAACCCTTTCAGCAAAGAAATTCTTCCTCACATCCCACCTCAACTGCCCTGGCCACAACTGGAGCCCATTTCCTCTTGTCCTGTCCCTTGCTCCTTGGTTGAACAGACCCCCCCCCACCTCTCTCCACCCTCCTCCAAGGGACTTGCACAGAGCCACAAGGTCTCCCCTCAGCCTCCTTTTCTCCAGGCTCAACACCCCCAGTTCCCTCAGCCACAAGGGAACTCAGCACACTTGTGCTCCAGACCCTTCCCCAGCTCCGTTGCCCTTCTCTGGACACGCTCCAGCACCTCCATGTCCTTCTTGGAGTGAGGGACCCAAAACTGAACACAGGACTCAAGGTCCAGCCTCACCAGTGCTGAGTCTTTATGGTGAATCAGCAAGGCCCAGATTCACCTCCCCAAGCTTTGGCCATCTGCAACAGAGGTGTCTCCTCCAATGTTTAGCTCCTCTCTGCTCAGCAGAGAACGACAGTGCTTGGAGAGGGATTGGTCTCAGCTAGTTTCAGTCCTGACCAGGGGCTGGGCTGAAGCTAAAGTGCTTGAACAAAACTAGTCCCATCAACCCACTGCCTGGACTTGGTGCAAAGTAGGTGGGTAAAATTCACCCAAAGAGTGGAAGAAGGTGCAGGCAGCAAACCCTAA